TTTTTTAGTTTATAAACTTATATGTAATTGTTAACTAGGTTTATAAAGTTTTTCATTTAAATTAGCTTTTTACCATGACTTGTAACTTTTTTTTTTCAACTTAATTTACAGTAGGTAATATATTAATCAAGGGCTAATCTCATTGGTCAGATCCTAAAATAAGATGGTACAGCCGTGTAGTAGTATCTGTGCTGAATGGCTGGCTTTCTCCATTTGTAAGGGGTATGCAAGGGATCAAAAATGCTAACTTGCCCTATAAAGTTTTAAACACCTTAAAATGTTTTTTTAAAAAGGCAGTTTTAAATGCTTGCACTGAAAAGGTCAATTTTCTTCTTAAGATAAGTGCATTTTTTGTTCAGTGGAACAAGACTATTTACATTTAAACTAAGTAAACACAATTGGTTTGTCTTATTTCAAGTGCATTTTATCTAAATATCTCATTTTAAGAGTAAAAATACTAATTTTATTGGCAAATAATTTCATTTACCTACTCAAATTAAGGGTAAATACACTTAATTTAAGACATTTTTCAGGGCTGCCAACTTTTCACCAAACCTTGGGGTGAGATTTTGAAATAGTTTGGACAGGAAACCCTGTCAGGGTTCCATCAAAAGGCTCTGAGGATAAGAGCAGCTATAAGGTTGGAGGTTTTCAGAGGATTTAACTGAAACAAAGTGTCAGAATGTGGGATTTTTATAGCACAGTAAATGCTGCTGGATAATAATCGATGATCTGTAGTAATGTGGAACATTTTTCTCCTAATATATATAATTTTCTTTATTCTGGTTATTTTTATAGAATTTAAGTAAAGAAGAATGGGCCATACTAAAATACTTGTATCTTAAATATACTGTAAACTAAGAATTTCACAACTTGTTTATTAATTATTCTTTGCAGTTTGAGAAAAATAAACAATGGGGAACTAAAGAGTTATTAATGTATTGCTGGCACTGATACAGGAACCAGAGCAATCGAATCCCATGCAAACTACACTGTGTATGAATATTTGTTAATAGGCTAAAGATTAAAAAGCTTTATTCACTATGTTATAATTTTTCTAACAATTGACAAAACAGCTAAATTATTCAGACCTTCTAAGAGGCTGTAGATTTATTAAAAACTCACCATGACAGGAGATAGCACTTCTCTGGATGTTTCATTTGGAAAATGTGATGGAAATTAAGTTTTTAAACATAATCAATGGACCAAAATAGGGATAAATAAGATAACTAATAATAAAATTAATAAAATGAGTAAATCCAGGATAACTGAGTTTTTCTGCACATCCTCTCTGAATGTGGTTGGTCTTTTCTTGGGTGGCTGATCCTTTGAAAAGTAAAATGTAATGGTTCTTTTTCTTTTTGTGGAGCTTCTATGTGTTTGAGAGGCAAACCTGAACTCAAGTACTAGATTGCTTAAAATCTTCAATAATTTACAAAGAGAATTATCCTAGCGCAGATGAGAAAAGATAAATATTAAAATGACATACCTCATAACAACTATCTTTGTTCAATATCTGGCACAGTGAACAGGTGAGAATACGTGTGTGTTAGCACTAAGGTTGTATTAAAAAGACTGGATTTTGATCACAATGGTATTTCTATACATAAACAGTCTTGTTTATAGATGTTGGAAATTGGCCTGTTTTTCCAGTGTAGTCCTGTTTCTCTGGGCCGCCTTTTACAGCTGCTTTTTGTATCTCTGCTTCTGCCTCCTTGAACCCCAGATGGCCGCTCACACTGAGCCTGGTCCTGCTGGAGGTTTCTTCCTGTTAAAAGGGAGTTTTTCCTCTCCACTGTCGCTACAAGCATGCTTAGTNTGTCAGGATTCGATCAAAAGGCTCTGAGGATAAGAGCAGCTATAAGGTTGGAGGTTTTCAGAGGATTTAACTGAAACAAAGTGTCAGAATGTGGGATTTTTATAGCACAGTAAATGTTGCTGGATAATAATCGATGATCTGTAGTAATGTGGAACATTTTTCTCCTAATATATATAATTTTCTTTATTCTGGTTATTTTTATAGAATTTAAGTAAAGAAGAATGGGCCATACTAAAATGATTGCATCTTAAAGTAAACTAAGAATTTCACAACTTTGTTTATTAATCATTCTCTGCAGTTTAAGTAAAATAAACTATGGGGAACTAATAAGTTATTAGTGGCACTAATACAGGAACCAGAGCAATCGAATCCCATGCAAACTACACTGTGTATGAATATTTGTTAATAGGCTAAAGATTAAAAAGCTTCATTCACTGTTATTTTATTATAATTTTTTTTACAATTGACAAAAAAGCAAAACGATTCAGACTTTCTAGGAGGCTGTAGATTTTATAAAAACTCACCGTGACAGCAGACAGCACTTCTCTGGATGTTTCATTTAGAAAATGTGATGGAAATTAAGTTTTTAAACATATTCAATTGACCAAAATAAGGATACATTAATAAGATAAGTAATAATAAAACGAGAACATCCCTGTGGTTCTCCCTTTATGAATCCAGGATAACTGAGTTGTTCTGCACATCCTCTCTGAATGTTGTTGGTCTTTTCTTGGGTGGCGGAACTTTGGAAAAATAAAATGTAATGGTTATTTTTCTTTTTTGTGGAGCTTCTATGGGTTTAAGAGGCAAACCTTAACTCAAGTACTAGATTGCTTAAAATCTTCAATAATTTACAAAGAGAATTATCCCAGTGCAGATAAGATAAAAATTAAAATGACATCCCTCGTAACAACTGTCTTTGTTCAATATCTGGCACAGTGAACAGGTGGGAATAAAGACTGGATATGAACCTGGCATGTCCTTGTGTGTTAGCACTAAGGTTGTATTAAAAAGACTGGATTTTGATCACAGTGGTAGTTCTATACATAAACACCCTTGTTTATAGATGTTGGAAATTGGCCTGTTTTTCCAGTGTAGTCCTGTTTCTCTGACTGTGCTATCTTCATCCTCTGACATGGGAGTTGGCTCGGAGCTTGCCTGCCTGGCTGTGTGTCTCCTGGACGGGGCCGCCTTTTACAGCTGCTTTTTGTATCTCCGGCTTCTGCCCCCTTGAACCCCAGATGGCCGCTCACACCGAGCCTGGTCCTGCTGGAGGTTTCTTCCTGTTAAAAGGGAGTTTTTCCCTCTCCACTGTCGCTACAAGCATGCTTAGTGTGAGGGATTGCATTCGAGTCAATGAGTCGATGCAATATACTGGTTTTCCTTAGATAGAAAACTTTGAATCAATTTGACTGAATGATCTGATGAGCTGTAAAGTGCCTTGAGGTGACGTGTTGGGAATTGGCGCAATAAAAATAAACTGAATTGAATTGAAAATAAGTGGAAAAGAGTTGAGTTTTAACCCCTTGAACCCTACGGACCCACCGGCGGGTCCAGCTGCTACATGACCTCGTAGTTTTACCAAACCCCCAGTATTGATGTAAAAAACATATTTGGCACAGTTTGGTGACATTTATGGATAAATGTGCCAAAATGGCCTGTCCGCCTAAGAAATTTCTCACTAATACCATTCTAAAATAAATATGATTCAACTGATTGAGTCCAAATTTGGTATATTTTACACAACATTTAG